CGAATGACCAAAATCCGTTCACCCAGAAAAAAATTCTGAGGTTCACATAACAAAAATACAGTTGAATTGAGAACCTCTTCCTTTTTTTGAAGTCGGTTGAAAAGGCTACCAACTCTGCACATTCCTATAGTAGAAAAATGACTGCCTCGTTGTTCTAGGCATCGTAAACGCGTCTGCTGATTATGACGACCCGGGTTCGCATCCCGGGTCGGGCAAATATCAATTATTGGGATTTTCTATTAAGAAATTTTCAGTAGCAGCCCAGAGTCAGGAAGTTGGCGGTGTTTCACCCAGTACCTTGGAAAGCACGTAAAGCCTTTAGCAGTACGCCTGATCTCTCTCCGTCGTGTAATAAACGTCCCATCGGACTATAAGACTAGCTCTCATAGATTAGATCGCACTGGTGCTTGCGCATACACTCGGACACTATAATCCTGTCCTGTGTAGATGGCTAGTCTCCGTTGAAGACTGGCCGCCGTGACCGAAATTCGATCTGAAGGACATTATTATTACTTTTATTGTAGCAGAGTTACAGCACTGTTGTTCTAACGGAGTCAGATAAGTTAACTAGACTATCTATTTATTCACCATCACTAAGTATTTACACACATTTATTCACACTTGGTAGGGCCATGCTACAGTTATATTATGGTTGTAGCACGAATGGGTCGGCTCGACCGGGGAAGGACCACACTCTCACAGAATACCAGCATAAAATAGCAGCTTAATGCTGCTTTGTTTCGTATGGTGAGTTTAGAGAACCGAAGACCCTTTTACAGAAAACGAGGCATTCCATCTTAGTCCTCAGGGATGACAACGCATCTACATTTTAATTCTTAATCGAAGATAAATGTAAGAATGTATGGGCCACACCACCCACTTACCATCAGGTAGAAAAAGGATGATCTTTTTCTAATAAAAATACGCAATATTCACTCTTACTCTGTATAAATTAAACTCATTTTACTCCCTTTTTGAAATCTGTTAAAAAAACATCAGCTTTAATTTGCTCAATCACTCGAAAACAAAATGCCGCCGTTGAGCTGACACTTTAATTTATATTTATAGGAAACACAAAGGAAAATAAACCATTTTCCCGGGGAAAAATTACTCAGTTTATCGTTCGGCTTGGATGTCTGTTATTGATGAACCCATTGGTAGTTTCGAGTGTGAAGTCATTTATGTTATTTTATTGTTACTTTTAATACTTTTTTCATAATTTCATTTTTGATTTATTATTTACATTGAAATGTATCCAAAATTAAAAAAAAAACTATAAATACTAATAACTTAATTGTCATACAGCCCTAATCACCGTGGTATCGTACCAAGAACGCTGGCTGCGTTTCCTCGCTGAATAGCTATAGGCTTTGAGCGAGAACAGAACCAGCCCTCTTATCACCATCAGCAACGACCAATCGAGGATAGAATTCCTTTAAGAACTTCACCGCACGTGCACCCCACGGATGGATAGTCTCTACAGAAAATAGCACAAAGATGTAGTCATCTCTCAGAGACTCATATTTGCGCCACTTACTCAGTTGTGCTAACCTCTGATGCCACCGCCCCGGCTCTAAACGAGGTACCCCGATATGAGAGGCCGCCAAAGTGTCTACTTGAGTATTTAATATTTAGTAGTATTTTTTTTCATTTGCGAGACCTTTTTCTACATATACTTATTTACTTATTAGAATTTTCGTTATACATAACACAAATAAAAGACGCAATAAACAATTTTTCATTATTCTACTCAATTATGTGCATCCTAAACGCTTATATTAAAAAGTAAAATATACATACCCCTCTGGGTGACAGGCGTGATTGTTTGTGTGTGTGTGTCTAAAATATACATACCTAGTACCTACGCTTTATAACTAATATTTTACTGTTGTCTATGTTTGCTATTTGGTGCCTCTTTCTTTTTTTTATAGAATGGGGTTAACAAAGGAGCACACGGTCTACCTGATGGTAATTGGATGCTGTGGCCCATAGACATCTACATTTATCTTCGACTAAGAATCAAAACGCAAATGTGTTGTCACCCATGATGACTACGATGGAATGTCTCGTTTCCAGTAAAAGTGTCACCCATACGAAACACATCAGCATTAAGCTGCTATTATACGCTGGTACTCTGTGAGAGCGTGGTTCTTTTTTTTTAGGGTAAGGGTGACAAACGAACACACAGTCCACCTGATGATAAGTGGTTGCTGCGGCCCATAGACATCTACATCTATCCTCTGTTACAAATCAAAATGTAAGATGCGTTGTCACCCGTGAGGACTAAGATGGAATGCCTCATTTCCAGTAATAAGGGCCTCCGGCCACCTGCACTCACCAAGCGAAACGCAGAGGTAAACCTCTACTTCACGCTGGTTTTCTGTGAGGTTCTTCGCCGATTGAGCCGAACCGTTCGTGATACAACAATAATATAGCTGCAGCTAGCTCTACCGCGTTAGTTTTTATTACACATAAAGACACACGTAAAGACTTTGTTTTCTTACTTATTATTTCATTTTACTTTTTTAACTAGTATATATCTGGTAAATGTATCTGGTTTTATTTTTCAATTACGAAGGAAATCATATATCGTAGTCGATAAAAAATTCGACGTCTCAGGTGACTCAGGACCATGATTAGTGACATTTTTATAGAATAAGGGTGTCAAACTGGAACACAGTCCACATTATGGTAAGTGGATGCTGTCGCCTATAGACACCTATATCAATCCGCGATTAAGAATCAAAATGCAGATGCGTTGTCACCGCTGAGGACTGAGATGGAATGCCTCGTTTCCAGTAAAAAATGGTCTCCTCCTCTCTACACTCACCATACGAAACACAGCAGCATTAAGCTGCTATTTTACTCTGGTATTCTGTGAAGGCGTGGTACTTACCCGGTCGAGCCGAACCATTCGTGCTACAACCATAATAATAGCTGCAGCGTAGCACTACCACGAAAAATATTTCATTCCCTGTATAGGTCTATGTTGAGCAATGTAGTTGTGAAAGGCTGTAATGACGATGATGATAATGATACCAAACAAAATATTGCTTAGATATGCACGATACAGGAATCTTTCTTCTTTTTTTTTAAGACAAAGAGCAAATTTAAAAATGTGTGTGTGTGTGTACTTATTGTATACACACGTAGGAAGTTATACTTTTTTAGCGTAACAAAACAAAAAACTTAAGAGACAATTACGTAATTGAGTGTCAGTGCGCGCGCATCGTAACAACTTCATGGTGTCGTTTTTAGGTGTCAGTATGCGCACGCATTATAACAACTTCATGCTGTTGTTTTTAACTGTCGCATTGCGCGCGCATCGTAACAACTTCATGGTATCGTTTTTAGGTGCCGGTGTGCGCGCACATCGTAATAACTTTATGCTGTTGTTTTTAATTGTCGGTGTGCACGCGCATCATAACAGCTTCATGGTGTCGTAATTAGGTGTCGGTGTGCGCGCGCATCGTATCAACTTCATGGTGTCATTTTAGGTGTCGGTGTGCGCGCGCATCGTAACAACTTCATGGTGTTGTTTTTAGGTGTCGGTTTGCGCGCGCATTGTAACAACTTCATGGTGTTGTTTTTAGGTGTCCGTGTGCGCGCGCATCGTAACAACTTCACGCTGTTGTTTTTAAGTGTCAGTGTGTAAAAATTCACTCTCATCATTTTTCCCAAGCGCTCCAAAAGGAGTATAACTTCAAAAAGTCACGACTTCTCATGCGCGGTTATTGTTGTCCGCTCCCGCAATAATCCAGGGCTTGATTTGCGCGGATAAGGAAATATTAATTTCGTTAGCAAAATTGCTAGTAAGATAACAATTTAAATTTAAAAATTTTGTACAATCGACTTCAATATAAATTATTAGGAATAACTCAAAAACTATTGGTCAGACCTTGATCGAATTTATATGAGATCATACGTGAAGCACCAGCTTTCAAATAAAAAAAGAATCATCGAAATCGGTCTAGCCAGTAAAAAGTTATGAGGTAACACACATTAAAAAAATCATACAGTCAAATTGAGTACCGTCTCCTTTTTGAAGTCGGCTGAAAAAGAAAATCAAGAGAGTTGTAATTGTAATTTCTTATTGTATAAGAAAAAATAAAAGATACAAAAATACTTTATTCGCTAAAGATGATGTCAATAAGTTAGTTTTAACAAATAGCTTTCTGCTATAAATCAAACCGTGTAGTGGCGCTGTAAGGATATCCACTACCCCATAATATCATCCCGTGGGTGTCGTAAGAGGTGATAGAGGGATACAAATCAGGAGATTGGCGGCAGCGTCTTCCTAATAACGATTAAAAATTTAAAAAAACTGCTCCTATCAACCCGCTTGCCAAGTAACAATGGCAAATATCCCGATATAAGGCAATCTATGTGGGAGCATTATGATCAGCCGTTCACTTTTATAGGCGGTAATGGATGGATGAATCATTATTCTTACTAACTCGTTGGTCTAGTGATTGTAAGCTCGATTGCTGATCATATAGTCCTAGGTTCCAATCCCGAGTCGGTACAAAACCAGTTATTGGGTTTTTCTGTCAACAAATTCTCCCCCGTGCGTTTCATTCACCTCCGTGCCTCTTGGTTGCCGTTGGACCTGTACGTAATATATCATAGCAACCTAACTGCCCATAACTCACTCCCTGTTCTACCCAAGGTTAGCTAGTAGAAAATGCCATATAGAATTAAGGTCGCCTTTTTGTACAAAATGTTTGGTTCAATAAAGAATAAAATAAAGAAATAAAAATTAAACTCTAATCTAGTTTATATCTATGTGTTTTCATATTTTTATTTTTATTTTGTACGCCCTCCTCTATTAATTATTGTTTGCATCAGTTCTCAACGTTAAGATTGTCTGGAAGAGATCACTTTCAGAGTGATAAGACCGCCTGTTGTACATATTGTACTTTAGATTTAACAGTACTCGTTATTTTGTATTTTGGTGTACAATAAAGAGTAAATAAATAAAATAAGTAAATAAAATAAACAAATAAAACAAAATTAATCTCCCCATTTTCAGGGTAAAATATAGCCTAAATCATTTCTAGCATCTCTATCTGTTCGTCAAGTTCCATTACAATCAGCCATTCCGAAGTTAAGCCCGGACAGACAGACAGACAGATAGATAGACAAACAAAAATTTAAAAAAGTTTATTCATAACTTAATAGCATGCAAATAACCCTATCAGCTCAATAAAAAACTGTCATTGTGAGGGACAACGTGCGGGAGTGCTCTACACTCGATATGTGGTCATCCCTCAAGTTCGCTACATAAAATCGTTCTTATACTTTTAGCTAGACATCAAATCCATTGTTATTAACGTTACAATAACTACAAACATTGGATTATAAGATTAGTTTATTTTCTAATTGATTCACATTAAACTATAACAAAAAATGTAATTGAAAAAAGTATATGGACTGCCGTCCATTATTCTGTGCGTCGGTGAGTCTTCTCGCTTAATAGAAACGAGCAATAGATTGAAGTATATAGTATTTAATAAGATTCCATGAATTCTAAGGAGGATGCCTATTGATTCTTGTTATTGAACTCAACACCGTTTAAAAGTTTTTTTTATTTTTTTCATCAAAATTTCATTTAATTTTAATGAAGAAAAAAACGCTCATGAGGCGTGCATATTTAGATTTTCCAGATTATTTTAATTTTATTAATAGATTAAATTAAATATAGAAGATTAATTAAACAACAGACCTATAATCAAATTACTGTGGCTTCAACTCCAATACACGGAAAATAACTCTCTGTCACTAATTAAGATAAATGAAATCGTTTTCACGCTACGTTTGTTGGACAAATAGACTGAAAGCATTCGAAATGATAATATATTATTGTTCCTATAGCACACAAATACTGAATGCCTTTTTTACTATGGGCAAAAAAAGGATATAATGGGTGAAAGAAAAGTAAAATTACGGCACATCTTCTCGTCAGGTATACCTCAAAACTTGAAAACGAGACTGTATAACCAGTGCGTGTTGCCACTGAGGACCTGAGATGTGTTCCTACACTGCTGGCTGGATGAGGAAGCTCAAGGCCGTTCAGCGAGCTATGGAGAGGGCTATGCTTGGAGTCTATCTGCGTGATAAACTTAGAAATGAGGTTATCCGCAGTAGAACCAAAGTGACTGACATAGCCCAACGGCTTAGTAAGCTGAAGTGGCAATGGGCCGGCCATATAGCTCGAAGAACCGGCAACCGATGGGGAAGAAAGGTTCTCGAATGGGAGGCTCGTACCGGCAGGTGAAGTGTAGGGCGTCCCCCCACTAGATGGAGTGACGACCTGGTAAGATATGCAGGAATTCGAAGGATGCAGGTGGCTCAGGACCGTGCTTTGCGGCATTCCTTGGGGGAGGCGTATGTTCAGCAGTGGACTTGTGATGGGCTGTTGATGAATGATGATGATGTGAAAGAAGAAGCCTAGAGGATAAATATATTTCCCACGACAACCACGGCTTGATGGAGTAGTGGATTATCCTACGCCGCCACTACACAGCCAAACGCTTAGTACTAAAGAACTCAATGGTTATTACTTAATTCGCATTTTAACCGACTCAATTTAACCGGAGGAGGTACTCAATTCGATTGTTTTTTCTTTATGTGTTTTACCTCAGATCTTTTTTCTAGGCGAACCGGTTTTGATGATTCTTTTTATTTGAAAGCTGGTGCTTCTCATATGGTCCCATATAAATTTGATCTGACGAGTCGTTTTTGAGTTATCCTTAATAATGCGTATTTATTGAATAAAACTACTTTTAGGGTATTTATAGCGTTTAATAAACTTATTTTTCTTATTTTTATTAATTCCCGATGTTTCAGGTGCTTTCCAGCACCCACAGTCACGGGGACTGAGGTGATTGACGTCACGATGTCAGAGTTAACCCGGAGTACCATCAGCTTTTTTAATTATTAATTCTGTTCGATCTACGCAGAATGAACTTATTATATCTTGAAGTCTTGCAGTGGTATGCGTGGGTTTAATTTTAATTTTATTAATTACAGGATCCCAAGCAGGCGGTAGTACCCAGCCTCCCTCTCTATTGAAATTAGGATGTTTTTTTTAATTTCAATAGTCTCACGTATCATCCTTGGCAGGAATCGATGTTCTTTCGCGAGAATTTGTGGTTTATCAAATCTCATGTAATTTTACCATCAGACAAAGTAACTACATTTTTAGAACATCTTAATTCCATAAACTCTAAAATTCAATTTACTAAAAAGTAGTCTTATTCAATGTGTAGTGTTCGCATAAATTTAAGAAATCATAATGCGTATTTACTTGACTTCGACTACATTGATGACGTTCTCATTTTATTTATATTGAAGTCGGTTGTACAAAATTTTTAGATTTTATCACTTGTGTAGTAATAATATAAATAATGTAATAAATAGTGTAATTCAAAATGACAACCATTTTAACCACCTTCTAGTTTATACAAATAAATAAAATGGAAGTGTCTGTTTGTAATATCAAAATAACAGCTTTATACTAAATACATATGAAAGTGTATACGGTACTCAAAACAAAAACACAATTTTTTAAATTTTTGTCTGTTTGTCTGTCCGTCTGTCTGTCTGTCCGTCCGTCTGTATGTCTGTCTGTCTGTTTGTTCCGGCTAATCCCCAAAGTGGCTGTATCGATTTTGACGGTACTTTCACTGGCAGATAACTGATGTTATATGGAGTAACTTAGGCTACTTTTATTTTAGAAAAATAATTAGGGTTCCTTGAACTCGGGCGGTGTCGCGGGGATCAGCTAGTCCTAAACTATATTTAAAGTTTCAAATCTAGTTTAGGACTCTCTAACTCATCGGGAAGTTAGTAAAATCGATTGCTAAATTTGTACCGAACAGACAGACAAACAAAGAGACACAATAACAGTGTTTATATTGCATTGACATCCAATTCTGGGCTATGTTCAAAATTTCAAGTCCCTAGCTAATCTGGAAGTTAGTTAAAGTGAAAGTCAATCACTAAATTTCAATACCCGAACAGACTTAATACAAAAGCGGGTTATTAAAACGTGGTAAAATTTGTCTAAACTAACCTTCGTTCATATACGAATTCTAATCTAGTTAACGCTCGATGACTTGACTGGCACGTGAAAAGTCTAGGTCACCTATAATTATATCCAAGTTCAAGGCTGTTCCGTCACTAACATAAATTCCTTGTAACCGCTAAGTTATTTAAATTTCTAGGAACATTATGTATTTTTTTTATATAATAAGATTAACAGACGAGCTCACAATCCACCTGATGCTGTAGCCCATAGACATTTATATTTATGCTCAATTATTAAGAATCAAAATGCAGATGCGTTGTCAGCTCCGAGGACTGAGGTGGAATGCCTCGTTTCCAATAAAAAGGGTCTCCGGTTCTCTACACTCACCATACGAAGCACGAATGGGTCGGCTCGACCGGGGAAGGACCACGCTCTCTCAGAATACCAGCGTAAAATAGCAGCTTAACACTGCTGTGTTTCGTATAGTGAGTGTAGAGAATCGGAGACCCTTTTTTCTAGAAAAGAGGCATTCGATCTTAGTCCTCACGGGTGACAACGCATCTGCGTCTTGTTTCTTTATTGAGGGTAGATGTAAATGTCTGTAAATGTCTGTCACAGCAACCACTTACCATAAGGTAGGCTGTGTGCTCGTTTGTTACCCTATCCTGTGGGCATTTTTTATTGACAACATAAAATTAAATCCTCCCAAAATACCAAGCAAAGAGTTATAATAGAAATTAAATGTCGTTTGTGTTGAATGTTACCGGGTAGTGGCGGTGTGAGAATAAACCACTATCAAATATCATCACGTGGGAGTCGTAAGAGGTGACAGAAAGAAACAAATCAGGAGATGGGCAGCAGCGTTTTCCTAATAACAAATAAAAATTTTAAAAAAAACTGCGGTTGCCCACCCGCTTGCCAAGCGTGGCAACTATGGCAAATATACCTACGCGGCAATCTGCGAGGGAGGCCTTTATAGGTTTATCCAGGATTACCGCCTATCCAATTTTAAAAACATTTTTTTTATTTACAAAATTACGCTTTTCCAATGAGAGCTAATAGGTAATATTCCGCTCGCCAAATGTCGCTAGTTGACACTGTGGTGAAGTTATTTGTTACACAATGTCATTTAATTGAGAAGTTAGTTTTAAATAAAAGTTTATCAGTTTTTAGAGTATTATATTAATACACAAAACAATGCCTCAGTGGTTTGCTCTTTAATTTTTTGCACATTTTTAACTCTTTTTTTTTCTACCTTTATTTATTTTTATATTTAATAATATAAAACATAACTAATTGTGCAGAAAGAAACATTAACTTTTACATTTTTCAAACAAATGAACTTCCCCGCTATGAAATCTGTCAAATAAAATGAGGTGATCAGATCTATCAGATATGAATCAGATTATAGAAACAAGGAGATGGAGGAGATATGCCCGGTACGTTAAAATGTATCGGCACCTGTTGTCGCCAGATTGTCCCCGCCACTCGCCAACTACTACACATGCAGTTCAGTAAAATCAATAGATACACAGTCGCGCACACACCCGCATTTAATAAATCAAAACGTAGAACACAACCAATTATAAACCTTATCCCATCAAACACAGCGTGCATTTACCATGAACCGTACAACTTACTCATCCAAAAACATCTGTCGCTATCGTTGTGCTGTGCAAAAGGCATGTATTTTACGTAGACGCTAGTGATTGAGTAAATCGGAAAGTTGTCGATTCTTCTATTTATAATTGTACTAAAGATGTTTTGGGGTCATGATAATAAAATAAAATAAATAAAGAACGATATGTCCAAAAAATATTATAATAAAAATGAACAATATGTAGTTAAAACAAAATATTAATAAATAAATTATAATTAATATTGTGGTTTAACAATATTAATCAATACAATGGCCTTTTTCACTAGTTGTATATACAATGCCTTGAGGCTTTGTGTGTACACTAAAAAGCCAATAAAATCGGTTGTGTACTGATAGCCTGTTTACAGTTTCGA